CCCCCCGCAGCCCCCCCGGCCCCTCAGCGGCTGTAGCCGAACTCGTCCGCGTCGTCAGCCCGGAAATCACCGTAACGCCACAGGTTCAGCTGGGGGGACACGGGTCAGGGGGCACCCACACACAGGGGGTCAGGGGGCACCCCCAAACACGGGGGGCAGCCAGGGGCACCCCCAAACACGGGTCAGGGGGCACCCACACACAGGGGGTCAGGGGGCACCCCCAAACACGGGTCAGGGGAACCCCCAAACACGGGGGGCAGCCAGGGGCACCCCCAAACACGGGGAGATGCAGTCGGGGACACCCCCAAACACGGGGGGGTGCAGTCGGGGACACCCCCAGACACAGGGGGGTGCAGTCGGGGACATCTCCAAAAATGAGGGGGTTGCAGTGGGGGTGGGGGCACCCCCAAAAGAGGGGGGCTACAATTAGGGTCACCCTGGGGGGAGGGAGGCTGGAGCGGGGTCACCCCCAAAATACAGGGGTGCAGTCAGGGGCCGTCCCAAAATGGGGGGCTGAAGTCAGGGTCACCCCCAAAAGGGAGCTGTGGGGTCACCCCCAAAATGGGGGGTGGCTGCATCAGGGCCACCCCAGGGTAGGGGTCGCAGCCAGAGTCACCCCAAAAATGGCGGGGCTGCTGTCAGGGTCACCCCCAAAGGGGGAGGCTGCAGTCAATGTCATCCCCAAAACGGGGGGATGCAGAACCGTCACCCAAAAAAATGGGGGGGGCTGCAGTCAGGGCCACCCCAAAATGGGGGGGATGCAGCAGAGTCACCCCCAAACTGGGGGGCTGCACCCAAATAACCCCTCGAGTTGGGGGTACCACTTACAGCACACCCCGAGCCAAGGGGGCTCCCCAAGCCCCCGGTCTGGGGTCCCCCCACTCACCCGGGCACTCTTGGCCGCCTCCTGCGCGTTCAGGTACTCGGTGATCTGGGGGCACAGACCGGGGGTGACCCCGTGTCCCCCCCCTCGGGGGGCTCTGGGGGGCACCCCCGGGGACCCCCATCACGGGGAGACCCCACGCTGTGGTGGGGGGAGTGGAGGGCCCCCATGTAGGGTGGGGTGAGCCCCCTCCCCCTCCAGCCCCTTCCCCGGCCCCCCCGGGGCCGCCGCCGCCGCCGAGCCGGGATCGATGCGGCCGCGGCTGAGCCGGGATCGATCAGCGCCGGCGGGAGGGGGCAGGGACCTCCCGGCACCGCCAGCACACCCCCGACACCCCCCGCACTCCCCCAACTCCTGCCCAACACCCCCAGCACCCACCCAAGACCCCCCAGCAATCACCCACCCCCCAAAACACCCATTCACCCCCCAGCACCCGGCCACCCCCCCCCCGCAAGACCCACCCAGCTCCTCCCAGCACCCCCCCAGGCACCCACCCAACACCCCCAAGACCCACCCCAGACCCCCGGCACCCCCTGAGCACCCACCCAAGACTCCCAGCACCCACCAAGGACCCCCCCCCAGGACCCCCACGCCTCCTCCCACCCAACACCCCCAGCACTCACCCCAGACCCCCAGCACCACCCAGGACCCTTGTAGCACCCACCCAACACCCACCCCACCCCCTCCCACCCCCCCAGGACTCCAGACCCCCCCTCCCCCTGCCCCGCACCCACCACTTTCTGGAACTGCCTCTCCTTGCGGGGCTCCACCATGACCAGCCCCTCCTTGACCAGCCCCAGCCCCACGTCGCTCTTGGAGTCGGCGAACTGGAGGGTGACGTGGGGGCAGCCCGGGCCCAGGTGCTCCACGTTGAGCAGGCACTGCGTGTTCTGGATGTCCCTCACCACGCTGTCCACGGCGTCCGCCCGCGCCTCCTCCTGCGCCACCGCCCGTCAGGGACCCCCGCGCACCCCCTGCGCCCGTCAGGGACCCCCGCGCACCCCCCGCACCCAGCAGGGACCCCCGCGCACCCCCCGCGCCCCGTCAGGGACCCCCGCGCACCCCCCGCACCCAGCAGGGACCCCCGCGCACCCCCCGCGCCCTCACGGACCCCCACGGGCTTCAAGGACCCCCTCCCACCCTTGGGAACCCCCCGTGGCACGGGCACAGCACCCGCCGTGGGGTTGGGGGTAAGGGAGGCACAGCCCCACCGTGGGAGGTGGGGCCCCCCTGCACACATGGGGGTGCGGGTGGCACTGGGGACCTCACGGGGCTCTTCTGGGGGTGCTGCTGCCCCCCCCCCTTGCCTGGGTCAGTCTGGGGGAGCGGGGGCAGGGTTGGGGTCAGGGTTGGGATCCAGAGTTGGGGTTCGAGGTCAGGAGCCTCTTTGAATCCCCAGAGTGGGGGTTCACGATTGGGACCCAAGGTTGGGGGCCAGGCTTGGGGGCCAGGGTTGGTACCCGGGTTTGGGGTCCAAGGGTGGGTCTTGGGGTTGGGGTGTAGGTCTGGGGGTAATGTTTGGGACCCAGAGCTGGCGTTCAAGGTCAGGGGTAATTTTGGGGACCCAGGGTGGGGGAGCCACAGTGGGGACCCAGAGTTGGGGCCCAAGTCTGGGGGCCACAGTTGGACCCAGGGTTGGGGCCCAGGTCAGGACCCCCCAGGGCCCCCCAGCCCCGCCCCGTACTCACGTCCTGCGGCACCTGGATGAAGGCAAAGGTGTACTCGGTGGCCTGGGGGGGCAACACCCGCGGGGAGAAGGCTGGGGGCAGCGGGGCCAGGCGGGACGGGGGCAACGTCTCCTTCTGCGGGGGGACACGGGGTCAAGGGGCACACCACGGGGTCAAGGGGCACACCACGGGGTCAAGGGGGACACCATGGAGGGGGGGCACCATGGATGGAGGGAGGGTGGATGGGTGTGTGGATGGATGGATGGATGGATGGATGGATGGATGGATGATGGATGATGGATGGATGGATGGATGATGGATGGATGGATGGATGGATGGATGGATGATGGATGATGGATGATGGATGGATGGATGGATGATGGATGGATGGATGGATGGATGGATGGAGGGATGGATGGATGGATGGATGGATGGATGGATGGATGGATGGATGATGGATGATGGAGGGATGGATGGATGGATGGATGATGGATGGATGTTGCAATGGATGGATTGGGAGGATGGATGGGTGGTATGGAGGGTGGATGGCTGATGGATGCGATGGGGATGGCTGAGGATGGGGTGGCTGGATGGCTGGTGGATGTACGGTGGATGGAGGGTGGATGGAGTAGCTGGAGGAGGATGGAGGAGGATGGATGGATGGATGATGGATGGATGGTGGTGGAGGATGGATGGATGGGTGGATGAGGAATGGGTTGATGGATGGTAGGGTGGACAAAGGGTGATGGATGGGTGGATGGGTGGATGGATGGAGGGATGGATGGATGGATGGATGGATGATGGATGGATGGAGGGATGGATGGATGGATGGATGGATGGGTGGATGGATGGATGGAAGGATGGATGGATGGATGGATGGATGGGTGGATGGGTGGTGGATGGATGGTGGATGGATGGATGGATGGATGGATGGAGGGATGGATGGATGGGTGGATGGATGGGTGGATGGATGGAGGGATGGATGGATGGGTGGATGGATGGATGGAGGGATGGATGGATGGGTGGATGATGGATGGATGGATGGATGGATGGATGGAGGGATGGATGGGTGGATGGATGGATGGATGGATGGATGGATGGAGGGATGGGTGGATGGATGGATGGATGGGTGGATGGATGGATGGATGGATGGATGGATGGATGGATGGATGGATGGATGGATGGATGGAGGGATGGGTGGATGGATGGATGGATGGAGGGATGGATGGATGGATGGCTGGAGGGAGGATGGGATGGAGGGATGGATGGTGGAGGGATGGATGGCGGATGGAATGGCTGGATGGATGGTGGCTGGATGGCGGGATGGTGGATGGATGGAGGGATGGCGGGAATGGATGGGTGGGGATGGATGGCGGGATGGATGGATGGAGGGATGGATGGAGGGATGGATGGAGGGATGGATGGATGGATGGATGGGTGGATGGATGGAGGGATGGATGGATGGGTGGAGGGATGGGTGGAGGAGCAGGAGCTGGGAATGAGGGAAAAGGAGGAATCGGAGCAGAGAGGATGCAGGGATGGATGCAGGGATGGATAGATGGATGGGTGGAGGAGCTGGGAATGAGGGAAAAGGAGGGCTCAGAGCTGGAAGGATGCAGGGATGGATGGATGGATGAATGGATAGACAGATGGATGGATGGGTGGAGGAGCAGGAGCTTGGAATGGGGGAAAAGGAGGGATCAGAGATGGATGGATGGATGGGTGGATGGAGGGATGGAGGGATGGATGGATGGATGGATGGGTGGATGGATGGATGGATGGATGGATGGATGGATGGGTGGATGGAGGGATGGAGGGATGGATGGATGGATGGATGGATGGGTGGATGGATGGATGGATGGATGGATGGATGGATGGATGGATGGATGGATGGGTGGATGGAGGAGCAGGAGCTGGGAATGAGGGAAAAGGAGAGCTCAGAGCCGGAAGGATGCAGGGCTGGATGGAGGAGCAGGAGCTGGGAATGAGCCAAGGGAGAGGCGGCAATTCCAGCTCGGGGAGCTCTGGAGTGGCCTCTTCTCCCGGTGCTTGAAATCCTCCCACTGACTTCCTGAGCTCTCCTGGGAAAACAGCCCGTGGGAGGGACGGAGTGGAGAAGGTGGAAGCCTGGGATGACTTTGAAGGAGCCTGTGTGTGGTTAAGCTCAGCTTTGTGTGTTTAACTCCAAAGATCCCAGATTAAATATTTAGGGATCCCTCTGGAAAGCTTTGGACTGGTTTGGGGTGGAAGGGACCTTAAATCCTACCCCGTTCCCTCCAGGAACACCTTCCACCATCCCAGGTTGTTCCACCTCGGCCTTGGGCACTGCCAGGGCTGAGCAGCCCCAGCTTTAAATCCAGGCTGGATTGGAGCAGAAAGATTCCCAGGTTATCCCAGGGAACTTCCCCAGCATAAGTTAATATTCCAACCGGCAAAGCCTGTGCTGGGCAGGATCAGATTCCTGCTTTTCCTTCAGGAGATCGCTCCAGAGGGAATTTGGGAGAGGCAAATTCCTCCGGGGATCCCTGGAGCACATCCCTGTTCCCTGTTCCCTGTGCCTTGTGCTCCCTCCGGGTGGGATGGTGATCCCAGAAAGCCACCACACCACATTCCATGTGGGATCCCCGCTCCGGATGCCTCCGTTGGCTCCTGGCACCGTGGAGACCTTCCCAGAGGGTTGGTTCCGGTGCTCCCATGTGGAATTCGGACGGTTCCAGCCTCTCCAGTGGCCTTTTCCCAGGAGAAGGACCTGCTGCTTCTCCTCCTGCCTCATCCAAGCTCCAGGAATTCCTCTGCCCTCCACTGAGTTCCCAGGGTTTTTCTGTAAATCCAACAAATAACCCGAATTGTTCCCCAAAATACTCAGCCTTTCACCTGGAATTAAAACAAGTGATAAGCAGGAGAGAGACTGGGAATGACTTGGAATTCCAGGGGTGAAGGAGGAACACACAGCCTGCCCAGCTGGAAGCTTTTCCAAGGCAGGTAAACCTTGGATAGGGTTTGGATCAGCTCCTCTGATTTCCTTGACAGATGTGGGGAAAAAAAAAAAAAAACCTAAAACAATTCCCAATTTCTCCCTCTGAGCCAGAACCGAAGGAGGAAAAATCTCCAGCTCCCAATAAATGTTTGACACAGAGAAAAACTCCAATTTTTTGGGACTGCTGTGGAAAAACAAAGGAAAATGAGGAATATTGTCCCTGTTGGAGCCAGGCTGGGCTTCTCCTTCAGAATTCCTTTTCCTTCCCACACTGGGAGGGAGCAGCAGGGTCAGGAATCCACTTCCAGGCTGGATTGGATGGTTTCCCCCAGCAGGAAGGTCGGGAAGCTCTTCCCTGACTCCCAGATCCACAACCCAAAGGAATTTTGCTTCCCTAATGAGCAGCCCTGGGCTGTTCCAAGGGAGAAACGGATCCAAGGAAGATGGTCCTGGAATATCTGCTGCTACTTGTCCTTAGATTTCCTACAAACCCCAAATATTCCAGTAAAGTTTTAGATCAGGGGTTGGGCTGCTCCAACCTGGCTGGTTTTCCCAAAAAAAAAAAAAGGGATTAAAACACACGAGCGAATTCCTGGGATGCTGGATAATAAATGGGATCAAATAACCTTGGAATGGGGGGCTGGAGGGACTCCTGGGACAGCCCAGGAAGGAGCTGTGAGGAGACACAAACAAACCCCACTTCCATGGGTTGTCCTTCTCCAGTGGGATTTATTCCTGCTCAGTCCCCGGAGGAAAAGGTGAACCTCAGTGGTATTTCCAGGATTAGGGAAGAGCTCCAAGACCCTGGAAAAGAGGCTTCTGGCCAAAGGTGGCCCAGCAGGAGCTGGGGGAAGGTGGCAGTGGAATGGAAGGTGGGAAGGAGGTGGAATGGGAATGGGAATGAGAATGGGAAATCATCTCTCCTCCAGAAGGTCCGTTCGTGGTAGGAACCAGAATCCCGGGATGGTTTGGGTGGGAAGATCCTCCCGTTCCAGCCCCTGCCATCCAGCTGTGGCTGAGGTGGGAATTTGGAGCTTGCAGGACAAACACTGGGTTTTATTTTGGGAAAGTAGGTTGGGCTCACCCCCAGATTCCAGCAAAAAAGCTCCCTGGGAGCAGGAAAGGGGGTCAGTGATCCATATTTCCTTGGGAATAAGGGACACTCCCCTCATTCCTCCTCCCACCAACATTGGGTTTCCTGCTGATTTTGAGGGAAGAATTTGGTCCCTTCCGACCCAAACCATCCCATGATTCCATGACTGTTGGAAAGAGGGAAAGCCATTCCTGCAAGACAAAATACCTTGGGAATGTTGGGATTATCCTGCCCTGGCAACAGCAGAGAAATCCTGGATCCAGTTGCATCTGAAACGGGAATTTGGAGCTTGGAGGATAAACATCCATTTTTATTTTGGAAGGTGTTTTGGGCTCAGCCCCACATTCCAGCAAAAAACCTCCCTGGGAGCAGGGAAGGGGGTCAGGGCTTTGGATCCATATTTCCTTGGGAATAAGGGACACTCCCCTCATTCCTCCTCCCGCCAACATTGGGTTTCCTGCTGATTTTGAGGGAAAAGTTGCGTCCCTTCCAGCCCAAACCATCCCATGATTCCATGACTGTTGGAGAGATGGAAAGCCATTCCTGCAGGACACGGTACCTTGGGAATGTTGGGATTATCCTGCCCTGGGAGATTCCTCTGCTTGGCAACAGCAGAGACAGTGAAGAGAATTCCTAAATCCAGCTGTATCTGCCACAGGAATTGGGTGCTTGGAGGATTTTGGAAGGAATTCTGGGCTCAGCCCCAGATTCCAGCAAAGAGCTCCCTGGGATCAGGGAAGGGGACTTTGGATCCATGTCCTGTTGGGAATATGGGACACTCCCCTCATTCCTTCCCCCACCAAAATCCCTGTTGATTTTGGGGAAGAGTTTGGTCCCTTCCCGGCCATTCCCTGTTTTCCTTTGGCACTGCAGGTTCTTCCCTGCCCAAGGAATGGCAAAGAGGCCAAATCCCTGTGGGAACACCCCTGGAAGTGTCAGGAATCCCCAAAAAACAAGCCCCATCCCGACAATGTTCAGCCAAGAAGGGGGTTTTGGGGGCTGGTTTTTTTTCCCAGCTCCAAAGAACTCCCCGGTTGGTTTTTGGGGTTTTTTTTTTCCCTCCAGAAGCTTTGGCCCCATAAAAAAGCAGAGGGAAAAGCCAGGCCTGGGAGCTGGAAAACAGAGGCACAGGAAAGCAAGAGGGGTCCTGCAGGTCCCAAAATAGAATCACGGAGCCGTTAAGGTCGGAAAATCCAAGATCATCCCGTTCCAACCTTCGGCTTCCGCGGAGAACTTTCCACGAGGGAGCTGCTGGTGGAGAGGGAGCAGAAGGAACCTCTTCCCTCCCTCCAGCGCCACGAACTTTCCCTGGAATGCCTGGGCTGTCCAGGCTCTGGGGGAGCAGCAGGAACCTGGACTTTTCCCTCCTGGAATGTGGCCGGGCACGGAATGAGCTCCAGGAGCCTCCAGCCGAGCGTGTTCTGCTCCACTGCCACTGCCAGGGAGTTTTCCACGAGCAGATCCCACATTTTCCCCTCCAGGCACCTCCTGTTCCTTTATAACCCACGGATGGAGCCTGAAGGAACGAGGGTGAGCCTTACAGGGAGTATTCCCGAAATTCCCAGCTTTTTTCTGGCGTGATTTCCCTCTCCCACTTCCGCTCCGAGATCATTTTGTGCCTCCCGATTTTTATTCCTGGAACTCAATCCCACTCCACGTCCATTAATGTGGATTATTTTTATAATAATTGATCAATATTTTATCATTTGTTGGCTGAAAAACCCAACATTGCAGCTTTTTATTATCATTCCAACCTTTTGATTACTGTCCAGAAATAAAGGGAATTTTCTGTCAATCCTGGGAAGAAGTTTCACTCGGAGTTCCCTGAAAATCCAAAAACTGGGTATTCACCTTTTTTTTCCGTGTAACTTCCTCACCTTTTTGCTCGTCGAGAATTCCCAGGAAACCCAATAATTCCATTTTTTTTCCCCCAAAAAAGCTATTCCTGCCAAAGCCATTTATCCTTCCCTTCCTTTACCAAACCTTCCCTTCCCTCTCCCTCTCCCTCTTCCTTTCCCTCTTCCTTTCCCCTTTTCCCTTTCCCCTTCCCTTCCCTCCTCCCATGAGATCAGGAATGTCTGGAAGGGAAGGTTTGGGAAGAGGGAAGGTTTGGGGAGGGAAGAGGGAAGAGGGAAGAGGGAAGAGGGAAGAGGGAAGAGGGAAGAGGGAAGAGGGAAGAGGGAAGAGGGAAGAGGGAAGAGGGAAGAGGGAAGAGGGAAGAGGGAAGAGGGAAGAGGGAAGAGGGAAGAGGGAAGAGGGAAGAGGGAAGAGGGAAGAGGGAAAGAGGGAAGGGAAGGGAAGGGAAGGGAAGGGAAGGGAAGGGACGGGAAGGGAAGGAACGGGAAGGGAAGGGAAGGGAAGGGAAGGGAAGGGAAGGGAAGGGAAGGGAAGGGAAGGGAAGGGACGGGAAGGGAAGGGAAGGGAAGGGAAGGGAAGGGAAGGGAAGGGAAGGGAAGGGAAGGGAAGGGAAGGGAAGGGAAGGGAAGGGCAGGGAAGGGAAGGGAAGGGAAGGGAAGGGAAGGGAAGGGAAGGGAAGGGAAGGGAAGGGAAGGGAAGGGAAGGGAAGGGAAGGGAAGGGAAGGGAAGGGAAGGGAAGGGAAGGGAAGGGGTGGCCACATTCCATGGGGATTTTGGGATGGCCACATTCCATGGGGATTTTGGGGTGACCACATTCCATGGGGATTTTGGGGGCAGATCCTTCAGCTTTCTGGGTGTTTTTTGACCCCTCCTCACCCAGAATTCCGTATTTCACTGGAAATATGGAACGGTCCCAAATGCTTGGACACGTGGGAAAAATGGCTCCAGCCCACTTTGTCCAAAGTCAAATGGGAATTTTTCTCTCCTTTCTCCTTTAGATTTGTCTCGGCTTTAACTCCTTGGAGGCCAAACAAAGACCTCGGAGTGAGAAGGTTGGGATGTCCCCACAGCAAGGGCTGGAAAAGGAATCCCAGGAGAAGCTCTGAGGGATCAAAGGGCTCCATCTCCAAACCCTCAAACCTCGGGGTTTGTCCCCAGCCCTGGTGTGGGACCTTCAGTCTGTGGTGTGACCCCCAGATCCCACAGGGAACGGGAATTGGGGCTCAGAGTCCTCCTGGCTCCGTTTGTCCCCCCGGGAGGGGGTTTTCCAGGGTTGACTGGAGGGATCTGCTCTCCCATCATCCCCTGAGCCTTTATCCAGTGTTTCCCTCCAGCTGGGAAAAGAGACTGGGAGGGTCCTCCCGGTGTGGAAAAGTCCAGAGGGGGGTGGAGAGGGTGGAGAGGGTGGAAGGGATGGAAGGGAGGGAGAGGATGGAGGGGATGGAGGGGATGGAGGGGATGGAGAGGATGGAGGGGATGGAGGGGATGGAGGGGATGGAGGGGATGGAGGGGATGGAGAGGATGGAGGGGATGGAGGGGATGGAGGGGATGGAGGGGATGGAGGGGATGGAGGGGATGGAGAGGATGGAGGGGATGGAGGGGATGGAGGGGATGGAGGGGATGGAGGGGATGGAGGGGATGGAGGGGATGGAGGGGATGGAGGGGATGGAGAGGATGGAGGGGATGGAGGGGATGGAGGGGATGGATGGGACTGGCGGGGAATGGAGAGGAGGAGGGAGGGAGGAGGATGGAGGATGGAGAGGATGGAGGGGATGGGAGGATGGAGGGGATGGAGGGGATGGAGGGGATGGAGGGGATGGAGGGGATGGAGAGGATGGAGGGGATG